GTTTTTCGGTGCGTTTATACAAAATTTAAATCAAGTGATTAAAAAACTCCGTAATTTCAACTGTTTGAATTTAAGCCCCTTACGTTGTTTCAGTGGAAATTACCAGCGTGTACAGTACTGGGTACCCAACTTAATGACGCGTGACGTCGTAAATGACGTCACGTTGTATTATTATTTGGCGCGCTTTTCATTCAGTATTAGGTTTAATGTCTTTTTTAAAACGTTTCTTTGCATGTAATAAAAAGAAAATTGTTTTAAGTTTAGTGTAAGATCGAATATATTTCACCTTGTTGAACACCAAAACTTCATTATTTCCCACTCGTGTGCTGCGCCACTCGTGAAATATACCTTTTGGTGCTCACTCGGTGAAATATATTCCGATCTTACACTGAACTAAACAAATATCCTCTATGTAATTGGTAATTCATGCAAAAATGACACACAAACACTGTAAATGTTACAATGGTAATCTCCAGCTTTAATGTTGGAAGAAGACATGAGGTGACCTAAATGTATTATTTCAGACACAAACAGGTATGTCAGTTGAATCAGTGACTGGCAGACAGCAGACTTTACCACTGTGTTGTGGAGGCTCTTTGTATTAAATTTACAGAAGTAGTGAAGGCTAGTGAAACCTATGGAAGTCCTGTAAGGGCCATAACAATATCTGACAGCTACTGTAGTTAAAATTCATGAAATCAATCTGCTAATCATTAGTGTATTGCATCAATTTTTAAGGAATGAGTGTTATATTTAAAAGCCACATAAGTTTTCAAATGCATTGTCTTTGATAAAAACATAAATCAGGATGGTAAAAAAAACAAAATTCATTAGTGCAGATCAGAATAACAAAAATTGGTAAATTATATTTTCCTGACTACACAACTTTATGTTACACAGATATAAAATAATATCACAACTTACCATGAGGTTCTGCATTGCTGAAGGTGCCATACTTGATGGTGGGCATACCTGGCCTTGGACCAGCTGGCATACCTCTTGTATCCCCCTGTCCTATCAGTCTTGGTCCCGCGGATCCTCTGCCGAAGTCTGGTCTCTGTGGTGGTCCTTGCCCAGGTCCTCCCATACCTTGTGGACCCGGACCACCCATACCTTGAGGTCCTGGACCTCCCATTCCTTGGGTCCAGGGCCACCCATGTTCTGGGGACCTGGCCCACCCATTCCACCTTGAATAAGGGAAGAGTTGTGGTCTATTTCCCATACCCTGGGGTCCTGGACCACCCCTACAAATACATATTAATTCACTCTCAATTACCAAACAATACTATTCTGCCTCATAAGCCATCTAAATATAAAATCAGAATTTGATATGGGAATTAATCATTGAACCTCTCATAAAACTAATGTCAGTAACACATCACAGATAGGATTTGTACCAAAAAATACAAAAATGTTCTGTTACTCATTTGCATCATAATATGATAATACTTTTTAACATTTACAGTGAAACTTTGTTATTACAAATTCATCTGGAAAATGACTTTTTGTACACTACATCTGCGGTTTCTCATAACCAATATGAGTATTTATTTAATATCCTATAAAAAACCTATAATATGCGAACAAAACTGTTCAAAGAACAGCTTAGATGTATAATAAATTGAAGACATAAGCTTACATGTATAATAAATTGAAGACGTAAATGTATGACAATATAGATATATATATATATACTTACCCATCATTCCTGGACCTCTTGGAGGGCCTCCCATCATTCCAGCAGGACCACCAGGACCTTGTGATACAGGAATATTACCTAGCAATCCACCCAGCCCACGTGGACCTCCTGTAATTACCACAGATTTTATATCAATTAAAAAACTAAGCATTTAACTTTAGAAAAACAATAAAATTGAAGAAAGTTCATGGAAACAGATGACTATTAACCATACCTATTAACCAATTTAAGATGTACTATGCCCATCTTTGGGTTAATACTTTCAGGGCAGAAATTTATAAAATCTTACTGATTATATTTAATTTGAATAAGAGAATGCACATACTATATTCCAGAAGCAGCATTCTCTATTACGAGTCAAGTTAATTTGTTCCTTTCTTTAAAAAAAAAAACTGCCAGTGTTTAATGACATCATCATTCATTCTATATTAACCTATAGTGTGTAGAGTTAAAAATGTTACATATCTGCTCTGTGCGTGTACTCAATAGGTGATCCTTTTTCATTCAAGGAGGCTGTACATGTATAGCAATTATCAGTATTTCTTAACATTAAATTAAAGCATGTTAATTGTATCTTAACAATTATTAAGGTCTAATCCTCAAACAAGAAAACACTTATCATATCTAGGAGGCAATAGGTTTTTATTTTATTACTATTATTATATTTTATATTGTGGTTACCCATCATAGATGCATCTGGCATATTTGGCTGTGACTGTGGTGGAATAACAGGTGCCTGAAATAACATTACATATTTTAGATCTTTGTCACTGAGTGACTGACTATAAACTGATTTTTTTAATTTCTAAAAATATTTTATATCTTTTCTACTGTGTAAAAGACTTTGTGCTGAATGCAAGCTGTAAGACACATCAATATAAAATCTCTAGTTTTGTTACCCTGTGTCTGGTTCAATACAAGCAAATCTAAAACACTAATACCAGTAAACAATGAAGTATGGGAAAGAAAAAGAAAGAAAAGTTGGTAAAAAACTTTCTTGTGTTTATCAACCTTACCTGTTTTTACAACATGTAAACTAAAGGAAAAGACCTGGCCTCAAGATTATAAAACTTTGTCTGAGTTCTGTCTCAAATCTCAAGATTTTCATTGGTCAGTGAACATTTTCTGGTAGTTTCAATTCAATGTAATACTTAAGATCTGAGTTTGAGGTCAGATAATTTCTTTTATAACCTTGAACACTGAAACCCCCCCCCCCCCCCCCCAAAAAAGAGATGAGAAATAACAAAAGTACCTGCTGCATTGGGGCTTGTGATGTAGCTGGTGTCGGAGCGGCACTTCCTGTTGGTGGTACCTGGGAACTATCTCTATGTAACATAGCCTGAAATAAATATTGCATAACTTCATAACTTTAACCCTTTGTCATTTGCAACAATTACAACTCTGTGTAGCCCGTTTATAGCCAGTATGTGTATTCATGAAGCCTGACCTGAACCTACTATGTTCACTGCTCAATTCTTGTTTCATAATACATGTAATTGAAATTTCTTAATCTTTGAAAAGAACTGTTCTGTCTGTGAACTAAAACGCACCAATTTACAGAGTGCTGGAGCAATAAAATGCTTTTTATTCTTGTAAAACAAAGTCATGATTTTGCTGAAAATAAAGGATTTGTAATGTACACTCTTTTCCTTCTGGAATTAACAAAGTCATATTTAAGTAGCGGATGTTTCGAAAAAGATTTCTGAACATTCTTATTATGCAACAAGAGGGCCATGATGGCCCTGAGGTCGCTCACCTGTATATAGCCCCCCCCCCCCCCCCCCCGGCCAATTTTTACCCAAGGGCTTTTATTTGTTTATTTGAACAGACTTGTTAGACAGCCATAAGAAGATGTTTCATGCTAAACATCTAAGTTCTAGCTCATTGGGTTTTTTAAAAGAAGATTTTTTAAGTTTTTACTTACACATATAGTTAAAAACAATGACACCCCTGGGGCAGAGCCAGTTTTGACCCCCAGGCTTTTATTTGAACAAACTTGGTAGACATTCACTAGAAGATCAGGGCTTTTTTTCCTTCTATAGCAGGGGCCGGTATAGGGCTGCTTCCCCAAAGAAAAATTCTTTAAAATCATGCAGTTTTCCCCAAAAATTGAATTTACATCAAGTTTTTTCTTCCCCTTTTGCAAATATACCGTGTATTTTTTCCCCAAAATTAAGGGCTGGGCTGCTTTCCCAACCTGTGAAAAAAAGCCCTGAAGATGTTTCATGCCAAATATCTAAGCTCTAGCTCTTAAGGGTCTTTAAAAGAAGATTTTTTAAGTTTTTACAATATGCATATAGGGAAAATCAATGACCCTCTGGGGCGGGGCCAATTTTGACCCCAGGGCTTTTATTTGAACAAACTTGGTAGACACTCACTAGAAGATGTTTCATGCCAAATATCTTAGCTCTAGCTCTTTGGGTTCTTTAAAAGAAGATTTTTTAAGTTTTTACTATATGCATATAGGGAAAATCTATGACCCCCTGGGGCAGGGCCAATTTTGACCTCAGGGCTTTTTTTTAAACAAACTTGGTAGACACTCATTACAAGATGTTTCATGCTAAATATCTTAGCTCTAGCTCTTTGGGTTCTTTAAAAGAAGATTTTTTAAGTTTTTACTATATGCATATAGGGAAAATCTATGACCCCCTGGGGCGGGGCCAATTTTGACCCCAGGTCTTTTATTTGAACAAACTTGGTAGACATTCACTAGAAGATGTTTCATGCCAAATATCTAAGCTCTAGCTCTTACAGTTCTTTAAAAGAAGATTTTTATTTGTTTGGGTCGTCAGACCAAACAAATAATGGTAGCGAAATTTCAGAGTCTAATGTTGTTAATTGCAAACGCCGAAAGTAGTCCACTTTTTTGAAGCGGTTACTTCCCTTTATATGTACACTAACGCCGAAAAATTCAGGGGAGATCACTGCGTAAAGATGGTCAAAGACAGGCGAATTAATTTTCAAGCAAAATAATTCCCGAATGGTCGAAGATTTCTAATATTGTTTTATTGTATTTTCTGATCGAAATTAAGTAAATACAAAGCGGACATTCAATCTCTGACACAGAAGTTCACAACAAACCTAACAACAAGTAGTTCTCAAAACAGCTTAAAACTAGCGATTTAAAAGAAAGAAATATTTTTATTTTGTTACAAGTATCCAACAAATAACAACGCATTCAAAGTTTAAAAATAGCGTTGGCTAATAGAATTGTCAATAAATGCACAATCACAAATTACGCGGATGAATATGATTTTATCAATGAAAATACTATTTTTAGCGATGATTACCGAATACTACACAAACCGAGTAGTGGAATATATAGATTCTACATGTCGTACAGTTTGGGCGAGAAGATTTTCGCTAAATTATTTACTTCAATTTTAAACAACAGGTTTATCCTGAACAAAATACCTCGAAATTAATCAGCATAACAAACCCGAAATGCAATGAAGGTTCTAAATCTAGAATGACTTGATGTTATTCAGATATTATTGGTATAACTTCTCCGTGGTGCAAGGGTAACGCGCTCGCTTCAGGAGTAAGAGGTCTGGAGTTCAAATCCAAGTCGAGGAAACTTTTTTTTTTTTAAATTCTTTTTTAAGTGTCTTTGTTAAGGAAGTAGCCATGATATGCAAGGATAAAGTGTGACTGTCGTAAAAAATGAACATAAATGATTTTTTGATTCATCTCTAGTTTATGCAGAATTCCGTATGTATCAAACTCTGGTGCCTTGCAAAATGAATTATAATACATAAAAATAAACTTATACAGGAAAATGCATACAGATATACTATACGATTAAGATTGCAAAGATCAGAAAATACCACAGAACTTGCATCCCTTTGATTCTTTATAAATATACATGCTTATAGTAAGCTCCAGGATTATTTACATCTGTGTGAAACAACAGTTAAAGTCGTTACAAGCCCTAATTTAGAATAATATGGTTTTCTTCAGGCCGTTCACATATAAATTCACCGTGGCTGAAGGGTTTTCGCGCTCGCCTATGAAGCGAGAGGTCTGGAGTTCAAATCCCAGTAAAGGCAACTCATTTTTTTTTTCAAATTGTTTAAGTCAAATAAACATTGGATTGCATATCAGTGTTGCAATAAGTCTTATAGCCAATTTACTACAATTAAAACGCTGGAAAGCATTGGTGGCACTATACATATAATCTCACAACCTGCACCTTTCTTACATTCTGAGACCCAAACAAATTCAGCGCCTTCTGTGCTTTGATTTAAGTTTTTACTATATGCATATAGGGAAAATCAATGACCCCCTGGGGCGGGGCCAATTTTGACCCCAGGGCTTTTATTTGAACAAACTTGGTAAACACTTATTAGAAGATGTTTCATGCCAAATATCTAAGCTCTAGCTCTTAGGGTTGTTTAAAAGAAGATATTTAAAGATTTTTCTTTCGGTTGCCATGGCAACCAGAGTTCTGCATGGAATTAAATTCTTTGAACAATTTTTAAAGGTGACCACCAAAGGAACATTCCTGTGAAGTTTGGATGAAATTGGCTCAGTGGTTTATGAGGAGATGTCATTTAAAGCAAAAGTTTACGGACGGACGCCGGACGAAAAGCGATCACAAAAGCTCACCCTGTCACTTTGTGACAGGTGAGCTAAAAATCAATTCACCTCATATTTCAATAATCGAAGTAATCTAAAACTGAACTTATACTAGTTACTTTCAATTTCTTCAAAAACGGAAATGAAAGCATGCTTTGGCACTTAAACTCAAGGTTAATTGTTTGTTTTGCAGTATAAGAATACAGACTCAAGTTTAACAGTCATTTAATTTAAGACACTTCTTGAGAACCTACATGATACATCCAAAATCTGTTACGCATTTAGTTTTGCTCTCAATAACAAACTACTAATTTCTATATTGATTTTTACTGATAAATAGTGACAGTACTAAGACAGAGTATAAACTTTATTACCATAGCAACTTGAGGGTCAACGATTTTCATGACAATCTGTGCCTGTAACAGTGCATACGCTAGCTGGGGATTCTGTAACAACATGTTTCGAGCCTCTGTTGGGTTGTTTTGTATACACAGCTAAAAAATGAAACACTATGAGTAATAAAATTTGAAATGCAAAAAGTAACTGATAAGCACTAAAATGAAATGTTGTTGTTAAAATTTTTATTGGTAAAATAAATTTCCATACCACATTTCTTTTTATAACATTACCCAAATATTGCTTTTAAAAATCTGCAGCTAAGTTGATGAATTACTAGTGTTCCAAATAAATCCACTACAATCACACTAAAATACCTTGTCATACAATGGCAGTTGCAATCTTGAAAGTCAAATATGTCTGCTCAGCATGACAAGATTCTACTTTGACAGGAAATTATAAAGGGGTGATATTCCTTTAATTAGAAATTTCGATAGGCAGACTGCAGTCTCGCCAAAAGTACTTTAACTTACATGAGTTTAAAAATGGTAAACCTTCTACAACATGTTCAAATATCTAATTTGGGAAGATGTTTTCAGATTTCCTGGTGCAAAAAGTACCTCTCCATACATTATTTCAGGCACAATTGGGCACCTGAGTAGAACGCATGGATGAAAGCATAAAAAATCCCTGGCGGAATGTTTTGACTATAGTATAGTAAGTGCCACATGTTATAAAATCATATTGCAAATCTCTATGTCTCCATCATATTTAGCATGAAGTTAAACATATTCTCAAAAATTTCATTTTATAGGGATAAGTTCAGATAAATTACCTTCATTTGTTTCATGAGTTCAAACATTTGCTCTGGAGGAAGACTGGCTACAGCTTTAGATATAGCTTCTGGGGCTTTCTCCGGTTCCATTGGGTCACCATAGGGACTCTATAATATAAAATATATGTATTTTACTGAATTTATAAATTTATAAAACACATTATTATAAACATAAAACAAGAGCCCCAATACACATGTTTAATCACTGTGCCAGGAAGATGTACCCTAAAGGATGTACTTTCTTACAATTTGCTTGGTGAGAGAATATCCTTAAGAAGCTGTATAGTTATGGTCATGTTGAGTACAGTTTTCAAGTATTAAAGTGGAAAAAAAAATATGGCAATGAAGAGAAGGTACATGTATGATAATCAGCGTTTTTTTCTCTACTTTGGGAATGGTGCCTGTACCAGACTGATTGGGGAAAAATGTGTTATTTTTAATTAAATTGGGATTTTTTTCATGCATTTTTTCAGCTACAATTAAGATTAGTCATCATGATTAAAGATAACTTACAGCTTCCACTGTCCAGGTAGAACTATTGAGTGGTGATTTATATGAAACAAGATATGTTTGTAAAACATGTATGCCCCCTATCAGCAGCCAATTATTCATGTGATAAGGTAATTATGCATGACTTCTGACCCAGTGATCAAACAATTAATAAGGGTTATCAAGTATCTACTGGTCATGACCTTGACCTTTGACCCCTTGACCCAAAACTCAATAGGGGTCATCTACTGATCATGACCAATCACCATATCAAGTTTGAAGTCCCTAGGCCTAAGGGTTCTTTCGTTATTGATCGGGAACCGTTTTTACCTACAAGGTCAATGTGACCTTGACCTTTGACCACTTAACCCCAAAATCAATAGGGGTCATCTGCTGGTCATAACCAATCACCATACCAAGTTTGAAGTTCCTAGGCCTAAGGGTTCTTTTGTTATTGATCGGAAACCGTTTTTACCCAAATGGTCAATGTGACCTTGACCTTTGACCCCTTGACCCCAAAATCGTTAGGGGTCATCTACTGATCATGACCAATCACCATACCAAGTTTGAAGTTCCTAGGCCTAAGGGTTCTTTACTTATTGATCGGAAACCGTTTTTGCTTACAAGGTCAATGTGACCTTGACCTTTGACCCCTTGACCCCAAAATCAATAGGGGTCATCTACTGATCATGACAAATCACCATACCAAGTTTTGAAGTTCCTAGGCCTTAAGGTTCTTTAGTTATTGATCGGAAACCGTTTTACCTACAAGGTCAATGTGACCTTGACCTTTAACCCTTAACTCCAAAATCAATAGGGGTCATCTACTGATCATGACCAATCACCATATCAAGTTTGAAGTCCCTAGGCCTAAGGGTTCTTTCGTTATTGATCGGAAACCGTTTTTGCTTACAAGGTCAATGTGACCTTGACCTTTGACCCCTTGACCCCAAAATCAATAGGGGTCATCTACTGATCATGACCAATCACCATATCAAGTTTGTAGTCCCTAGGCCTAAGGTTCTTTCGTTATTGATCGGAAACCGTTTTTACCTACAAGGTCAATGTGACCTTGACCTTTGACCACTTAACCCCAAAATCAATAGGGGTCATCTGCTGGTCATAACCAATCACCATACCAAGTTTGAAGTTCTAGGCCTAAGGGTTCTTTTGTTATTGATCGGAAACCGTTTTTACCCAAATGGTCAATGTGACCTTGACCTTTGACCCCTTGACCCCAAAATCGTTAGGGGTCATCTACTGATCATGACCAATCACCATACCAAGTTTGAAGTTCCTAGGCCTAAGGGTTCTTTACTTATTGATCGGAAACCGTTTTTGCTTACAAGGTCAATGTGACCTTGACCTTTGACCCCTTGACCCCAAAATCAATAGGGGTCATCTACTGATCATGACAAATCACCATACCAAGTTTGAAGTTCCTAGGCCTTAAGGTTCTTTAGTTATTGATCGGAAACCGTTTTTGCTTACAAGGTCAATGTGACCTTGACCTTTGACCCTTGACCCCAAAATCAATAGGGGTCATCTACTGATCATGACAAATCACATACCAAGTTTGAAGTTCCTAGGCCTTAAGGTTCTTTAGTTATTGATCGGAAACCGTTTTTGCTTACAAGGTCAATGTGACCTTGACCTTTGACCCCTTGACCCCAAAATCAATAGGGGTCATCTACTTGTCATGACCAATCACCATACCAAGTTTGAAGTTCCTAGGCCTAAGGGTTCTTTAGTTATCACTCGGAAACCATTTGGTCTACGGACCGACGGACCGACGGACCGACAAGTGCAAAGCAATATACCCCCTTTTTTTCAAAAGGGGGCATAAATATTGTATTTAAATGATTTCTGAGAAATCACTGGCCTTGTGGCAATTTTGAACACCCATTTTGGGAAATTAAACATTGAAAATTGGGAATTTTAATGTCTATTTTCTATTGGGAACAGTACCTTTTTAGAGTAGTAGTTATATAAAGAAAAAAAAAACACTGAAAATACATGTGTGCAGTTTGAAAAAAGAGGGGAAAAGTACTGTTATTGTTCTTGCAAACTGTACTTCCTAAGTTCCTATGATTGTGCTATGTCAGTGTATTAGGTTTGAAGTAAATCCTTCCAGTACTTGAACTTCTGGAGTTATGCTCTGGACAAAACTGATAAAGGGGAATACCTCTAAAAGAAGGCAAGGTACAGTTATTGTTTTTGCACATTGCACATCCTATCAATGTGCTCTGTCAGTTTATAAAGTTTCAAGAAAATCGCTCCAGTACTTTTGAGAAATTTCAGAAATGTGTTTTCAACATTTTGTACCTCAAGAATTGGTCCACCAAGAGCTTGCTGCATTCCAGCCATTTCATCTTTGTTAGATTCTCCAGCAGCAACTCCCACACGTAAAGGTCGTCCATTAAAGTCTGTATTATTGAGATTACGTAACGCACTTTGAGCAGTCTCAACATCCTGGTACTCACAGAAACCATAACCTTTTGGTTTACCAGTTTCTCTGTCATATACCAACCTAACATAGAACAAAAACAGTATACATATACATTGCTATTAAAATAAAAATTAAAGAAATCTTTTCATTTCAAGGGCAAGGAAATGTTTCAAAGTTAAAAAGATATTTTTTGATAGGTTTTAAGTGTCAAGGTGACTTGCTAAATTTGAAAATTCCAAATAAGGGCCGACAAAACCTGATTCTGACTTATTTTTATCTGGAGCATAAATTGCTTAACTTGTCCGTATGATATTTATATACAGTTGAGTTTACACTAAAGGTTACACAAAGTGCACTAGATGTATAAAAGGTGTATTAAATTCTTAGAATTTCCCTCTTGTCCCAACATGTTGTGGGACAACCTGGGCAATTGATTTTGCCGTCCCGTCCAAATTTTTTCAGCTGGATAGCCTCACATTAAAGAATCTGAAAACACTGGCAGTATTCTAATTTAAAGACATAAGGTTAGTGATTCAAAGTCAATTATCCAAAAGCTTGGACATGGAGGCCCACTTAAAAGATTTATGAACAAAATATACATTAATATATGTAAAGCTTGCAACTATTGAAATATTATGTTACTGTTTATAAAATCTCATCATGATAAATTTACATCATAATGATATTATTGAGTACATACTGCAAAAGTATTCCAAAATGCTTTGTAAATAAATGTTGATATTACATTAGGATAAAGTATACCTGAAGCTTACAACAGGTCCTGCTTGTATAAATATCTCCTTTAAAGCTTCTTCTGTAGCTTCATATGGGATATTACCAACTGGAATGAAATAAATCTGCTATTAAAATGTACATTTTTCTATTAAGCTTCAATAAGCAAGTTTGTACAACTGAAAAAAGTGCATAGAAATGATACAAACTAAGCCATATTACCATTGTAGTAAAATTTATTTTACAAGCCACGATACGATGTCATGGCAGTCTGATAATGCACATCTACATTTAGCTGGAAATGGCAAGTAGGACTAGGAGTCGGGAATGCAGCATACAGTTGGGGTCCTCGTAGCCTCATCGTAGGTCAGTTTGAAAGCTGCACACTTTGTCCTTATGTTCTACCAAAGTAACAAAACCACATAGTACCAACAAGTCCAATATATTAGACGTTATGGGCTTGTCATAGTTTATGTTGGTTTAAAAAAATGCTTTGCCAAGAAGCAAAAACATAATTTTCAAAGCGACGTCATCCAAGTACCAACATGAGTGACTAGCGTATTCATCCTTCGTTAAGAATGCTATATGGAACAAGTTATTAATAAAGACTGATGTTGAAATGAAGGTTTACAGTTACTCAAGAGGTGGTGGTGTTGGTATAATCAACTTCTATCAAAATGCCGGTTGGATAGCGTTTTATACTACTCGCGAAAACCAATTACAAATATGCATTCCAAACATCCTATCTATTTTTCTTACAGTTGCATAACGCCATATATTAACGCCTTCTTTATAATGAAAACATACCAAAAACTGAACGTTTAGCTCTTTCTTGAGCTGAAATTGGTGCCAAATCGTCCATCATTTTTAATTTTTGGAAGTGTAATATTCTACGATCATGAAAATTACTCTTACCGAAGATGGTATGCGACCCCTAAATTATTTATCACAACACAGTCGATTTACTAAATATTTAAAAAACGGCCATGAGTTTTTGTTTATAAATAATGAAAATAAAAATAAATGTTATTTAAATGTCTATGATTCATTCAAACTTTTATTTGCATGTCATGCATTATCTATTTTAATTTATCAAGACCATCAATAAGTAGCAGATCAGGTCTGACAAGCAACAACTTTTGTCCATCCTCTTAAGGCAAACAGAAAAACTGTCTCTTTTTATGTATAATTTTCAAAACGCCAATTATCTATCTACCTTCCAATAATGTCAAACCTCTCGCAGGGACGTAGACATGTCTGTATGTCGAAATTGCAAGAAAGTTAGAGTTATAAAAGAAGAATATAAAAAATGTTGAAAATTAGGGACATGTTCCAGCACTGAACTACTCTGGGGCAAGGAGTAGAGCAACTGCAGGTGGTTCCAATGGTATACAGTCATAAGAAAGAAGGAGAATTTATAATAGTCTAAAGTAATTGTGAATAACTTGTAAAATAACACAGGGGATGGCCATGGTATGATGTTCAGGAGAGGGGTGTCACATCTTCTATGGGGTAGAAACCTGACCAAGGTGAATTTTGTAGAAAACGATTAACCTAGCATCTATTTCCAGTTTTAAACTAAAGGGAGTGAAGAAAGACCTTGATTGTAGAGGTCTGATAATAATCTAGCTTTATCCATAAGGCTACTTTTCTTTGGACATTTTCAATTTGATCTTTTTGCACTTTGGTATGCTGGGTGAGCATACTTTGGAACCATATTCAAGCTGGGGTCTGACTAACGTTAAGTAAGAGACTACAAGAGAAAAACAATTTAACTAAATAAACATATTTTTTTTTATTTGACATCATTGGTTTGGACAAAACGTCATTTCATGTTAACTTTTTTTCCATTGTTCATAATAATCATTCTGCCATTAATGCACTGGTTATATATATTTCATATACATAATGTAAATGTGAAAAGTATGTTGAAAGTTTTAAACTTCAAGATGATTTTAGACCCCAAGCATCGTTTATTTAACCAGTACTTTATGTTGCAGAGGCTGACATGACAGTGTGACCCCCATGGGCCATGAAGGCCCATTAGACAATGCTTTTTAAATGTTCTAAATGCTAATAATTCAAGCATATTAATTATGTAACAAGTGAACTTAAGGGCGAGGTCCATTCTTTTACCCTGAAACACAATTTTGTGTTGAACTTTATCTGTGCTGGAATCAGGATAAAAATAAAACAACAAAGAATAAATGAGGTGGATTTTTATGTTTACTTGACCACTATCAACACTTAACAAAATATTTTTATAACATTCAACAATGAACTGTGATTTCAGTATCACACAGAAAACAAAGAGAGTTAAAAAATAAAAATAATCAAACATTTCTGTTTTTTTTATATCTGTCTAATTCTTTGAATTCTGGTTTATATTTTCAAAAATGATAAAATCACTTTCTATTCTTGATAATTATAAATGACAAAAGAAAAGATATATAAAATAATGTTAATTGAAACATCTATAATTTCTTTAAATTATACTATTAATGTATAGAAATGATTAAGATCAGTTTTTATGTTCCCTCAAAATAACAAAGTTACAGAAAACTTCCCTGAATTTTGAAAATTTTGGCATTGAAGGTCAAACTTTATAAAGTACAACCTCTGCTGAATTGCAACCTTTGGGAAGTAAAAATTTTGGTTATTGTTGAGAGGTGTTGCTGTAGTTAAATGTTAGAGAAGATTTGATTTTTTTTTCTTTCTTTGTTTAACAACATACCAACACAATTTAGGTCATCTGATACAGAAACAGGAAAGATGATTTTGGCTAACCTCTGTGTTACAAACTTTTAGCAACACCAGGGGTTAAAACCACCTCACCTGCTGGAGCAAAGAGATTTAGTAGCCTTTTACGATCACACAGGGTTAAACTGTGGCTGCAATTCTGATGCAAGGGGCAAAATTTGTTTCAGTTGTTGTAAAGATGTTATTACTGTACAGAAGACCACTCTGCAGAGATTACAATGAACATATCCGAGACATTAATAAATATAGTTTAATTAATTAATAAAAATAAAAACCTTTATTCTTAATAAAACAATGATAAACAAAATCATGGAAAACTTTCCTGAAGTTTGAAATTTTGGCATTGAAGGGCTATCGGTGTGAGGCATTTTAATACTTGTACCTAAATTTTATACACATAAAATCATGTAAAAGTAAAATAGATCAATGGTGCAAACAAATATATTCATGTAAATTTGATCAGTTGATTGCATAGCTTATCATTTTACATGTATGTACATTATATATATAACACAACATTTTATATTTCATGTATGTGAAAAAACAGCAGCATGTTAATCTATTTTCCATGAAAGAAGAATCAGTTTATTTACTATATTATTGGTTGTTTTTGTTTAAACAATCGGTAAAAAACCAATGTCTAAGATTATGATATTTCTAGGGTTCAGCCCAGCTCTCCAAAACCTCAACAAACACAACTTATATCCTACATATCTATAATGGACTTGTCCAGCTATAAAACAGTCAATACCAAATAACAGCTGTGTTGAGACACACCCCTCTGGTCAAATTTCTTGGTTAAAATATCTTTTTCAGTTAAGAAAAATGATGGTTCATTTGTGTTACAGCACAATCTATCTATAATTTCTACCACAAAATAATAAACTTGTATTAAGAAAGGCAATTAAAGGAAACATATCAATAACACTATTTTTATGGCACATCTTGAACTTTAACCTGTTTCATAAAAACTGGCCATGGTTTTGTGCAGATGGCAACATATTTAATTGTTTATAATCAACAACCAAAAAAAAAAACATGTGATAAATAATAATGACTGGAAGTAAAATAATTGAGCTGCGCCTTGACAAAACCAACATAGTGCATTTGCTACCAGCATGGATCCAGACCAGCCTGCGCATTCGCACAGTCTGATCAGGATCCATGCTATTCGCTTTCCAACTTACCAAGTAGAGAAACTGATAGCGAACAGCATGGATCCTGATCAGACTGCGCGGATGCGCAGGCTGGTCTGTATCCATGCTGGTCGCAAATGCACTATGTTAATTTTGTCATGATGCGGCTCAATTTGTGTGTAATTACCCTCACTACTATCCCCAGAAATACAAAATCAATACATATAGCATAATGGAGGGACAACATCAGACTATTAATACACACAAAAAACACGGATAAATGTTACATGTTATTCATTCAAATATATAACATAAATAAATGTTATTTCAATTCTGTATAAAACAATATAATTTGAGTTAAAACATTGCTGCTACTCTGAGTTGCTGAGTCTACGTATTTGCATTTCCATTAAAATATAAACAAATATACTGAAAAAATACAAGAGAAAAAAAGACAACAGTAGAGATCAAACTAGAGACATCTTTCTCATCAATTACTTTACATGTTGACTGACTGTGCTATTGCTGATGTAATGACTGTAAACTTTTCCCTAGTGTAAGTTTTCAAAACATTATATGAGGGTTGTCCCAATATTAAGTGACAATATTGTTTAAAAGCTAAATGAAATAGTTAAGAATTTGACATTTTGATGTCATATAAAACCTTATCATGGAAACATTTTCACAAATTTACATAGAAAAATATCAACAAACAACAAAATTATGCCATAAATACCATGGCAACTATTTGAATTGCAGTGCAGGTCAAACGTCAAAGGCGGCGTTAAATCTATTAAGATTAAGCGTTAAGCACCTTTCTCAAATTATCTCCATAGCATGGTGCAGTTTTACTCATTAATTGTCAATTATGGACTGATACTATGTAGTTGTTAGTCTCTGTTGAATGTTTAGATGGTAAACACTTAATTCTTGCTTTAAGCGAGCTTCCGGTCTCGTTGCTTTAGCTGTGGGAAATAGGCGACGGAGGTCGGTCTTCCTATTTGTCTTTTCCGTATTTTTACTTTCTATAATACAGAACTCTGGTTCCATTCATATCTTTTGTAAACAAATGCTCTTGACATGCTGTTTAACTGTTCTATCCGGTACATAAGTTGAACAATCTTAAAAGGTGTCATCCCGAAATACTCACGAAACACTCAATTACTGTTATCTGCACCGAAAATTCTTAGGACATCATCGTTTTAACTTTCCTATTTTCTATGAGATATTTTCATTTTGTCGTATCCCATTAGTTTCTTAAGTTATTTAACTGAAATTTAAACTACCATGTCAGCATGGCAGCAGAGGAAATCAACATGATATTGTGCAGACACATCATCAGATACTTGAAATATACATGATTTATTTAAGCCTATCCATAACAAAATGGAATGTATTTGACATGCGTCGGGAACTCAACCGATGTTGTTAATATTGAAAATTTTTAAGTAACTTGAGCAGATATTTTATAAATGGTTTGTTGTAATGTAAAATAATAAACTTATAGGTTATATGTGTGAATTATTTTCTATTGGCGTTAAAAATGAACCGTCTGTAAGATTTGTCACATACTTTTGGGACAACCCTCTTATGTGCCATATGAATTCTCGTAAATTACACAGGCAGAATTGAAATGGTCTCGAATATTTAAATGAGAGCTGTAATGTTTTCATAACCTGCAAGTCAATAAAATCAAACAATATCAAAATGTTGTAACATATACGTAAGAAATAAAGCAGACACAACACTTTCCTTAAAACCCTACATATGTGTATAGTCTAGGAAAGCAAGGTGGAGATTTCTTTGAGTATATCACTATTATATACACAATAATGGGTAAAACTATATGTGGCTATCTCATTACATCTGATTTAAAGGGAGACAACTGTATCCAATTCTTCATATACAGTCTAACTTGCCCATGCGACCACGTGTATTAAGCGACTTTTGTCTTAAACGACCATTTTAAATTCCCCCCGATCATTTTCTCTCTATATCTTTAATGTATTAAGCGACTTTTGCTCA